TTTCTTTAATTTTTGTTTTGTTTTGTTTTGAGACGGAGTCTCGCTCTGTGGCCCAGGCTGGAGTGCAGTGGCCGGATCTCAGCTCACTGCAAGCTCCGCCTCCAGGGTTCACGCCACTCTCCTGCCTCAGCCTCCTGAATAGCTGGGACTACAGGCGCCCGCCACCGCGCCCGGCTAACCTTTTTGTTATTTTCAGTAGAGACGGGGTTTCATCGTGTTAGCAAGGATGGTCTCGATCTCCTGACCTCGTGATCCACCCGCCTGGGCCTCCCAAAGTGCTGGAATTACAGGCGTGAGCCACCACGCCCGGCCTCTTTAATTTTTAATTAAACTTTAATGTTTTATTCACTGTGCTCAGACATAGAATAGCCATAGTCATTTAAAGACAATAATAAATATAAATACAGAAAACTGAAGGGGGAAAAAAACCTGAGAAAACTAGGAAGAAGTTCAATGAAAAGGAAATAAAAGGATGTGTTGATTTTGAGGCAGACACTACATTCATATTACTTTTATTATAGTCTATTGTTAAAATTGTTTTATTTTATTATTGTTGCTAATCTCCTACCTTGCCTAATTTATAAATTAAACTTAAACATAGGTATATATGTATAGGAAAAAACATAGTATATACAGGGTTTGGTACTATCTGTGGTTTCAGATATCCTTTGGCGGTCTTAGAATGTATCCCCTCCACATAAGCGGGAACTACTGTACTTTGTGACTACTTGGTGAAGTAACTGCAATAATGGCAAAGAAATTTAATTTATATATTAAATTAATGCTATTAATTCAATGTACAAATGAGAAATGCAGGGAAGCAAAGTATGTATCTTTTCTTTTTTTTTTTCAGGCAGGGTCTGGCTCTGTAACCCAAGCTGGGGTGTAATGGCAAGACCAGGGTTCACTGCAGCCTCAACTTCCCAGGCTCAAGTGATCCCCCCACCTCAGCCCCACAAGTAGCTGGGATTACAAGCGCACACCCAGCTAGTTTTATTGAATTTTTTAATAGAGACAAGGTCTTGTTATGTTACCCTAGCTCGTCTTGAACTTCTGAGCTCAAGCAATCCTCCCGCCTTGGCCTCCCAAAGTGTTGGGACTACAGGTTTTGAGCCACCACACCTGGATGATATGATTAATTTAAAGGTACTAATGTAACGAGTGGTTTCCACAAGATCAGCCCTGAAATATGCAGCTACATCTACTCAACTGAAAAAGCCACCCATTTCAACTGTATGTCACATATTTAAAAATTCTTAACTGAATGTATTTATGTATTTAATCACTAGAGTTATAATTATGTACATATTATATACTGTTATTTTATATTATATATAACATTATATACTGCCTTTCACTAAAGGTCACCAAAACTGTTAAATGCCATTTATTTATCTAGTGCCTAACTCAGTGCCTGGCAAGCACGAATTCTACAAATATTTGTTGAACGTTGTCTGAATTTATCCTCACTGCTCATCATCTTACTCTTCCCTTCTCCTTCAACAATTCCCCAGTAAAGTAATACATTTATTCATGATTTACTTTAAATGTCTGTTCAGTTCTTCTACATAGTTCTTCTGGTCCAGAATGGCAGTAATCTGACCGTCTCTGGGGGAAGGGGAAGAAAACAGAAATAAACTAAATAACATAAGAAATACCAAGATCCCAACCCCACCTCACCCCATCTTTTCATAAAACATGAGAAAAAAATTGTGGCACAGATACACTGAACCATAAGACAGATTTGATGTAAAACCCTATTGACATATTAACAAGAGTCAGGAGTTTAAAAATGACAAAACCCCACACTAATAAAGCTCTTGTTGTAGCTTACAAACCTTAGTATTAATAATTTAGGTCACAGGTATGATGTTGCAATCTATTAGACGCATTTAAAGGATAAAAATTTTCTTGTTAATAGGTTTTTCAGCTTCAGTAGTAGTACTTAATAGTAACAATTTCCAATCGTCATAGGACTTGAATTAAGCTCACTCTGATGTAATATAGCTGTTCTCAAGGGCTAAATATTTGTCTGTAAGTGCTATTTAACATTTAAAGTGAATGGTTAAAAAGGCTTTCATAAAGATCAAATGTTTATTATGTTATATATCTTTAATATTATATATATTATGTATATTTAATATTTTATATATATTTAATATTTCATATACATTATATATATGGATTTTTTGTTTTGTTTTGGTTTTTTTAAGACAGAGTCCCGTTCTGTCACCCAGGCTGGAGTGCAATGGTGTGATCTCGGCTCACTGCAACCTCCGCCTTCTGAGTTCAAGTGATTCTCCCACCTCAGCCTCCCAAATAGCTGGGATTACAGGCACCTGCCATCATGCCTCGCTCATTTTCTTTTTTATATTATTGTAGAGATGGGGTTTCACCATGTTTCCCGGGCTGGTCTCAAACTTCTGATCTCAGGTGATCTGGCTGCCCTGGCCTCCGAAAGTGCTGGGATTACAGGCATGAGCCACCATACCCGGCCCAAATGTTTATTATTACATGAAAAAAAAACTGGATAAAGGAGGTTGGCAACTACAACCAACTAATCTATAGTGACAAAAGATAAACAGCCAGATTTTTCAGCTGACAGATAAAATTAAGGCCCCAAACTTATACAACTACCAAAAGAACAGTGAGACAATCTTAGCTCTGTGTCAAAAATCAAAAACATCAGACTAATTATGCTTTCAATGGCTACACTTATAAAGAGAATAGATGTGCTTCTGATCTCTAATTACTAGGTACCCTAATGAATATTTTAAAACTGTTTAACATAGTTTTAGATTTACAAGAAGAGGTATAAAGGCAGTACAGAGTTCCCACGTACCTTCACTCAGTTTCCCCTAATGTCAACATTTTACATAACCTCACGGTGCATATTTCATATTGCCAATTTTAAGCAAACTGAGAATGCAACTCCTCTGGTCAAAATGACCATATTTTTAAACCCTACTATAAGACATAGAGAATTGGAATCCTTTAGAAAATTTTTATTTTCTTTGCCCCTGAACCACATAGCAGGAAAATCATTAAACAAACAAACAAACAAACAAAAAAACCCTTTTAGGGTTTAGTGGTAGGCATAATAGATATTTCTGGCAAGACTTTATTAAAGCTATATGATCAGAAATTCTTTCAGCAAGTCTGTTAAAACAGTATTGTTGTAAACTTTAAATACTACCAAAGGAAAAAAAATACTACATCAGGAGAAAAGAAACCTAATTTTATTGGTACGTACCCTTCAGTACCTTTACTGCTGTTCCCGTCCTTGAGATACATTGAAAAATCTATAACTCCAACCTACAGAGAGAATTTTCAGGTTTTAATATAAAATTAGATATTCTTTACAAGACATAACACAATATCTCCTTCTAGGCACTCAAAACAGTAATACAGTCCTGACACTTATTAGGAATGTATGATTAAAAATTTACTGTTTTACTTTCAGTTTAATCAAGAATTAATAAGGGTGGGAAGTAAAGAATCAAGATTATGTCAATAAGACTAGAAGACCAGATCACAACTAAGACAGTCAATGGAATACTTAATATAAATAAGGTCTACAGTTTCTTTCTCTTTTGCTTATTTCGGGTATTCCGCTACTGAATCCCTGTTCATTTTTAGAAATAACTTTTTAAAAATTAGCACATTTCCCCTGTAGAAGTTTCAGAAAATACAGCTAAACAAAAGGGGAAGTAATATTAAATCCCAACCACCATAGATGACCATTGCTAACATTTTGGTGTCTATTCCTCCAAACTTTCATTGATGTATACATCTTCATTTTTCAAGATTGCCATTTTATGATTTAGCTTCTTTCTTTTTAAAAATCCACGCCAAAGGCCAGGCACAGTGGCTCACGCCAGTAATCTCAGCACTTTGGGAGGCTGAGGCGGGTGAATCACCTGAGGTCAGGAGTTCGAGACCAGACTGACCAATATGGAGAAACCCTATCTCTACTAAAAATACAAAAATTAGCTGGGCATGGTGGCACAAGCCTGTAATCCCAGCTACTCGGGAGGCTGAGGCAGGAGAATCGCTTGAACCCGGGAGGTGGAGGTTGTGGTGAGCCGAGATCTCGCCATTGCACTCCAGCCTGGGCAACAAGAGCGAAACTCCATCTTAAAAAAAAAAAAAAGTCCACACCAAGAAAATCGTACTTCCCTTTCTATTTTACCAGAATAAAACATAACAGAAGTTTGTGATAGAATTTCATACAGAAAGGGTGAGAAGTAATTAAAGTGAAAACATTATTTATTGGGCAATTAATGTATACTAGGCCCTGTTCTAACTGCATTACATCAAGAAATCTGAAACAACAAGAAACAAAGTAATTATAAAATATATTCAGCTAGAAAATGAGGAAGCCAGAATCCAAAACTAGACAGTTAGCTTCAGAGCCTTTACTCTTAACTACCATGCTTTAATGGCCTTTAGTACAGTTGGCTCTCCTTATCAGCAAGTCCTAAAACCCAGGGACACAGAGGGCTGACTTTAAGGGGCTTGAGCATTGTGAGTGTTGGTATTCACAGAGGTCCTGGAAACAATCTCCTTTGGAAACTGAAGGACAACTGTCCAGTTGATCCCTGAACAACAGACTTTGAACTGTGCAAGTCCACTTATATACTATATATACACAATATAAAATATGTATTTATATTTATATTATATTATTTTTGAGACAAAGTATCACTCTGTCATCCAGGCAGAAAAAAATAAAGGTTTTCCTCCATCTCTGCCACTCCTGAGACAGCAAGACCAACCCCCTCCTCTTCCTCCTCGTCAACCTGGTTAGTGTGAAGGACCTTTATGATGATCTGGTTCCTTTATGATAATTCATTCATTTAAATGAATAGTAAATATATTTTCTCATCTTTATAATTTTCTTATAACATTTTCTTTTCTCTAGCTTACTTTATTGTAAGAATACAGCATATGAAATATACAATAGGCCGGGCACCATGGCTTATGTGGGATGTTTCTACCATGTGGTGCTTTACTCTGGTGTTCAAGAGTCAACTGTATATATTTTGGTATACACACACACACCCCTCATTTTATTGCTCTTTGCTTCACAGATATTGCACTTTTTACAAATTGAAGGTTTGTGGCAACCCTGCGTCTAGCAAGTCTATTAGTGCCATTTTTCCAACAGCATGTGCTTGCTTCATGTCTGGGTTTCACATTTTGGTAATTCCCACAGTACTTCAAACTTTTTCATTATTATTATATCTGTTGTGATAATCTGTAATCAGTGATCTTTGATGCTACTATCAACATTATTTTGGGGCTCCATGAACTACACCCATATAAGATGGCAAGCAATCCATAAATGTGTGTGTTCTGACTGCTTTACTTACTGGCCGTTCCCCCATCTCTCTCCCTTCTCCTTGGCCTCCCTATTCCCTAAGACACAACAATACTGAAATTAGGCCAGTTAATAACCCTGCAATGGCCACTAAGTGTTCAAGTGAAAGGAAGAGTTGCACATTTCTTACTTTAAATCAAAAGCCAGAAAAAATAAAGCTCCGTGAAGAAGGCATGTCGGAAGCCAAGACAGGTCAAAAGGTAGGCTTTCTGGGCCAAACAGTCAGGTTGTGAAAGCAAAGGAAAAGTTCTTGAAGGGAATTAAGTGCTACTCCAATGAACAAATGAATGACAAGAAAGCAAAATAGCCTGATTGCTGAAAGGAATGAAGTTTGAGTGGTCTGTATAGAAGATCAAACCAGCCACAATATTCTCTTAAGCCAACACCTAATTCAGAGCAAGGCCCTAATGCTCTTCAATTCTATGGAGATTGAGAAGTAAAAAAGCTGCAGAGGAAAAGCCTGAAGTTAGCAGCGACTGGTTTACGAAGTTTAAGGAAAGAAACTGTCTCCATAACATAAAGGTACAAGTTGAAGCAGCAAGCGTTGATGTAAATAATAGAAGCTGTAGCAAGTTATCCAGAATATCTAATTAAGATAATTGATGAAGGTGGATACACTTAACAACAGATTTTAGTTGTAGTCAAAACAGCCTTCTATTAGACAATGCCACCTAGGACTTTCATAGCTATAGATGAGAAGTCAATGCCTGGCTTCAAAGCTACAAAGGACAGACTGACTCTCTTGTTAGAGGCTAATGCAGCTGGTGACTTTAAGTTGAAGCCAGTGCTCATTCACCATTCTGAAAATCCTAGGTCCCTTAAGAATGATGCTAAATCTACTCTGCCTATGCTCTATAAGTGGAATAGCAGGCTGGGCATGGTGGCTCAGCCAGTAATCCCAGCACTTTTGGAAGCCAAGGCAGGGAGATCACTTGAGGCCACCAGTTTGAGATCAGCCTGGGCAACATGGCAAAACCCCGTCTCTACTATAAATATAAAAATTAGCCGGGTGTGGTGGTACATGCCTGTAGTCCCAGTTACTCAGGAGAATGAGGCATGAGGATTGCTTGAGCCCAGAAGGTGGAGGTTGCAGTGAGCTGAGATGGTGCCACTGCATTCCAGCCTAGGCGACACATCAAGACTCTGTCTCAAAAAAACAAAAAACAAAAACCAAAAAAACAACGGGTACAGCAAAGACAGCACATCTGTTTACAGCAGGGTTTACTAGAGTATTACATAAACTTAGTTGATAAAGCAGCAGCAAGATTTGAGAGGACTGATTCCAATTTTGAAAGAAATTCTACTGTGGGTAAAATGCTGTCAAACAGCATGGTATGCTACAGAGAAATCTTTTGTAAAGGAAGCCAATTAATGTGGCAAACTTCACTGTTGTCTTATTTTAATAAATTGCCACAGCCACCTCAACTTTCAGCAACCACCAAGCTCAGTCAGCAGCCATCAACACTGAGGTAAGACCCTCTCCCAGCAAAAAGATTACAACTCACTGAAGGCTCAGGTGATTGTTAGCATTTTTTAAGCAATAAAGTATTTTTAAGTTAAGGTATGTACACTATTTTTTACACATACACTATTACATACTTAATAATAGTGTAAACAAACTTTTTATTTAAAAAATTTTTTTAGAGTTTTATTTTGAGACAGGGTCTCACTGTCACCCAGGCTGGAGTGTGGTGGCACAATCATGGCTAACTATAGCCTCGACCTCCCAAGCTCAAGTGATCCTCCTTCCTCAGCCTCCCAAGTAGCCACCAGAACCAGCTAATTTTTTTTTTTTGGTAGAGATGGGGTCTCACTATGTTGCCCAGGCTGGTGTCAAACTCCTGGGTTCAAGCGATACTCCCGCCCCAAAGTGCAGGGATTACAGGTGTGAACCATCGCACCTGGCCTAGTATAAACAAACTTTTACATGTACTGGGAAACCAAAAAATGCATGTGACTTGCTTTATTATGATATTTGCTTTATCGTTGTGATCTGAAACCAAACCTGCAATATCTTGGGTTTGCCCGTGTTTGTGTGTGTATGTATGTGTATGTAAATATGTAGGTGTGTGTATATATATACGTTTAACAGAAAGTACAACCAAGACAAGAATCTGAAAAACATTCGTAACGTATAAATGCGCCAAACTGGAAGGAAAAACAACCTATTTTTTTATATTCCCATCAAAATGGAAGGAAATCCTGTTCATGACACATACAGTATGGCCTAATTTGATTGCTATAACCTAATCAAATCCATTTCTGAGATACCAGAACTCAGAGTGACACGCATGGTAATGAGTCTCTTTCCCATACCTGAGAGTCCAAGTCTTCTCCTTTCATACAGAAATTGGCATCAATGACATTCAGACCCACCAACAGACCAGCAATTATGGCTCCTTCTTCTTCCATCATGAGGGCATTGGGTTCATAGAATTCACTGTAAGAGAAATTCACGGAATTCCTTATTGTAACAAAAGTCTCAAAAATCCAGTGACGTAATCAGGAGACAAGGACAAAAACGCTTGCTTCATGGTTGATTATAGTCATCTACAAAAATAGTTAAAAAATTACAAAAAGAAAGGCTTTAATAAATATTTTATTTTTAGATAATAGGTGGATGTTGGCAAGTGGAACTGGAGAAAAATTTTTTTAAAAGAAAAAAGATAATAGGTGCATGAATAGATTCTTTAGATAATAGTCTCGCAGAAAGACATGTGACTGAACAGTGTTGTGGTTGAAGCAGGTATTCAGACTTTTCTGACATATTTGTACTTGTGATGTACCGTCACATGATTTTGCAATCTTTTATGCATCTTAAAGCATTTGTTTGGTAGCTCGGCGTGGTGGTTCGCATCTGTAATCCCAGCACTTGGGGAGGCCAAGGCGGGAGGACTGTTTGAGACCAGGACTTTGAGACCAGCTTGAGCAACATAGTAAGACCCCATCTCTACTAAAAACAAAAAAAAAAATCTGAATGGATAAAAATTATTGGCTGGGCACAGTGGCTCACGCCTGTAATCCCAGCACTTTGGGAGGCCGAGGCAGGTAGATCACTTGAGGTCAGGAGTTCGAGACCAGCCTGGCCAACATGGTAAAATCCCATCTCTACTAAAAATACAAAAAATAGCTGGGTGTAGTGATGCATGCCTGTTAATCCCAGCTACTCAGGGGGCTGAGGCAGGAGAATTGCTTGAACACAGAAAGCGGAGGTTGCAGTACTCCAGCCTGGGTGACAGAACAAGACTGGGTCTCAAAAAAAAAAAAAAAATTTCGTGAAGACCCATAGATAATTAAATACTGCTTATAATGCACCTAAATTACTAATACACACACAAAGAAACCAGTGATGTAATTCATATGATTTAACTATTGCATTCCTTGGTATTTACCCAAATGAGTTAAAAACTTATGTTCACATAAAAACCTGCATACATGTGTTTATAGCAGTTTTACTCTTAATTGCCAAAATTTGGGAGCAACCAAGATGTTTTTCAGTAGATGAATGGACAACGGCATATGACTTAGCACTAAAAAAGGGAACTATCGCTTGGCGCAGTGGCTCACGCTTGCAATCTCAGCACTTTGGGAGGCCGAGGCGGGCGGATCACCTGAGGTCGGGAGTTTGAGACCAGCCTGACCAACATGGAGAAACCCTGTCTCTACTAAAAAAAAAAAAATACAAAATTAGCTGGGCATGGTGGCACATGCCTG